CTACTATCACCACACCTAGGTAGAGATGAAACAGCTCACAGTGTTCTCATAGCTACTGGAAACTCAGTCTTTTACAAAGTCAAATATTGAGCACTGAATTAACCTCAATTAAAAAAAAATAATAAACAATAGACTCTATTACAGAGATTAAAAAATTTCCACCTGTCAAAACTTGTTTTAGAAGCACACCATTTTGAATTCAGGGGCAGTTGTCCTAATAAAATTTAAAAGCACAAGTCATTTTTCCATTTGGATAGAGATGCTGGGTAGGAGGAATGACCTTTGCTATTGCTACCAACTGTGGTTGCATAATAATATTTCCTTCTGTTTTGCCAGTTTCAGATGCTTCTTGCCTACCCATTAAGTGATCTAACTGAGCTACCCACACAGTGTTACCTAGTGAATATGAAGTTAAGACTTACTGGAGGCCAACTTCACCCACTATTATTTCCTACTTATTTTTTATTTCTTATTTGGAAATCGTAAAACTGAAGATGTACATTACAAGTGTGTGAATTTAACTACTGGAGGCACTCCTAAGACTCAGGAACTCATATAAGACAGAGGGAGATGCTGATCAGAAGTCCTTGCCTGCACACTGACCACCAAAAAAGATGGACCATATATGCCATCGCTGATAGCAGGCCTCCTCATCCAAAATCACAGAATGAATCTGCATCAGAGACTGGAACTGAAATAAAATCAGTTGAAGCTGAAATGGAACACACTCAGCAGAAGGGGCTGAGGAGGGGCATGGAGTGGGAGGCCTACAAAACTGTGAGGCTAACAGAGAAGAGGAAAAAAAATAACAGTGGGAGGTGAGAGGGAGGGTAGAGAGAACATAAAATGCCAAAGGGGAGGGGGAAGAAAAAAGCGGAAGATCAAGTCAAGATGTCAAGCTCCCTTGTCAAAATACACAGCTGACAAAGCCAGACATAATTACAGATAGAAAAAAGTCCACAAAGATTGCAGGTTCTCTTGTCAAGAAGTGAAAGACCTAACTCATAGCCACTGTGGTCAGAAGTGGCCAACACAATCATCTCCTCTCTCCTATTCTTCATTCAGTGTCTTTCATGTCACAGCAATTTCACAGTGATAAATCCCTGGTTGTCTGCTGTTTATATCCCTCCACTGGCAGTTCTGCAGCAGATGGTAAGGATAGGCATGTATTTGAATATTGAGTACAGAAAACAAATCAAGAAACTAAGCCATGCAAGTCTTAAAGCCCCTATTTTAAGGTACCAGTGACATTTGCAGTCTTGCACTTTACAGGATTACTAGTGAGGTGGAGGAAGAGAGAAAAGAGGTTTAACATGACTGTTCAGACTTCAAATCCTAGATCAAACTTTCCTGTAAACATTGTACATCTCCCAGAGCTGTTTCTTGATGCTTCAGATGCCAGCTTCCCCACAGCTGAAATTAACTTCACCCTCCCTCTCAGCAGTGTCATTACCTCCTCCAAACTGACTCCCCAAAACCAGAGAAGATATGAATATTCTCCAATCTTTTCCCGCAGTGACTGTAGGTGGACTGCCTGCAACACATCTCAAAGTCTCTACTTTCATAGTGCAGAGATTCTGGCTTTCTGAGGAGGCTCTGGCATTTTTGAGTCACTGTGCTCTGTTAAAAATGAAGTCAGAGCTGAAAAGCAGATACTCTACCACTCCCACGGGGACATGCCCGTGGTGGTGGGGACATGCAGGTGGTGATCTGCAATTGTCTTTGTGTGGTTTTACAATCTACACTTGCAAATGCCCAAGCATTTCTGCATAGGGATGACTTCAAGTGCTTAGGGTCTGGAGTTCACCAGGTGAGATCTGGCTACTCAAATGAGTAAAGTGTGGACCATGTCTAAAACCCCCTTACAAGCATACCTGTCATTCAACAATGAGCAAACACTACAATTTTGGTCTTCCTTTCTATTTGACGTAAGGCTACAGCACTAGCAGGGGCTGCAAGATAGCATACATACAAGCAAAGCAACTTTTTAATATTTGTGCATTTTGCAGCTCACATTGGTAAACTCAGTAAGCTCAATTTATAAAAGCAGTACATTTTTCCTATGCCTAGACCAGATAGTTTCTTCCAGACCTTCTTTGTGAATGGTCTCTTCTTTGCAAGAAGTATTGCCATCACAATGCTTCTTTCAAAATACATACTTTTTCAGTAAAATCACATCCAAGACAAGTACTATGTTTTAAAATTCCTGTGCAAAATTGTACTTGAATACGCAAAATACGCATGTAGGCTGCGTTATTCATGTATCACAGAAAGCAAAAGCAACACCCTCTTCTTATTTTCCTATCAAACTTAAAAGAACTGCAAGCTAATGCAAAAAAAAAAAAAAAAGCCATGAGACTTTTCACCTATTCGATTACTTCTTCATCTTCCAAAGACAGAAAAGAAACATTTAGTTCAATCCTATATTTGCATCCTCTGAAATTATTAATGTTGTCATGTTTCTGAGTGTTACATCTCTAGGCTGCCATCAATCCATGTTTATTTTGGGGGAGTAAAGAAATAAACAGTGCTGGAAAAAAACACCCTTTTGGGGTTTAGCTTTAATACTGCCATGCTGCTGTGAAGCTGTGTCCAGACCTGGCACCAAACACCAGAAATGTCACATACTGACCATTCAGTCATAGCAATTGGGCCTTCACCTGCAACAGCAATGGGTTCTGTGTGCAACCTAGAATAAAACCACTTCTTCATCAGCAACTGCACTCTCATCTGCTCTGGCTTCGTGCACACAGAACACATGCTACCTCCTTCAGGCCGCACCTGCCACCGGGCACGGGACATCTGGGCGCTGCTGCTGCTGCTGCTGAGCATCCTCAAGCCTTGCTCTCAGCCCCAGCCAACCGACATCCAACCTCCACACTGCTCAGGCTCCAGAGCAAGCACAAGTCACATGAATGGGTAAGGCGCAGGGCAGGCTTTCCACCCAAGTGCACACCTGTATTGCTCTCCGACCACGGCAGCTGCTCCCGAGTCTGTTGCTCCCGAGCGGGCGGCAGCCACGGAATTCCCCGGGAGCCGGGAGCGACCCTTCCCGGAGCAGCACCGGCGGAGCGCGGGGAGGAGGCCGGGCAGCGGCGATGGGCGCGGGCGCCTGCGATGCCCCCGCAGACCCGCACGGCCGTGCCTTGACCACGGCACCGGCAGATGCGGGCGCCGAAGGCAGAGCGGGCCGTGCTCGATAACGACGACGAGGACGAATGCACCCGCGCCTCGTTCACACGAGTTCGCGTTCACCGCTCGGCGGGGCCAGCGGCGAAGGACGCGGACACGGCGCTGCCGCGGAGCCGCGGGTGGGCGGGGAACGCGCCGGAGCTTCATCCCCGCCGCGCCCCCGGGGCCCCGCGCTCCCCTCGGGGCCGCCCCATCCCGCCCCGAGGGCCTCGCTCTCCCCTCGGGACTGCCCCATTGCGCCGCGCAGGCTCAGCACTTACCTGGGAGCGGAGCTTTCGCCATTTCAGGGCTGCCCGCCCGCAGCCAAGCCGTCCTCAGCCGTGTCAGGTGCTCGCCTGCTGGGCGCTCCGGCACCCTGCTCTCCGGCGCCCCATCGGCTTTCGGCAGAGGCCCCGCGCCGCCCCCTTGCCTGCGGCGCTGAGAGACGCGGCCGGGAGACGCCGCCGCCGCCGCCGCCGCCGCCGCCGCCGCCGCCGCCCGGTGCCGCCCGCCCGCCGCTAAAGGCGCAGCCGCCGTCGCTCAAGGCGCAGTGAGCGGCTCCGCGGAGAGCGGGGGCCGGGCCGGGCCAGCACGGGGACGTGGCTGCGCATATACGGCCTGGAGAGAGCGGCCGCGAGGTGCGAGCAGCCCCCGCTCCCGGCAAGGGCTCGGCGGCAGGTCTCGCCGCGGCGCTGCCGGCAACGTCCCTCTGCTTGCAGCTCGCCTCGCCCGCAGCCCTCACGGCACGCCTCCCGCCGAGGGGTCGCGGCCCCCCCGCCGTCCTGGCGCCCCTCGGAGCTGCGAGCCCGCAGAGCCGGAGGGGGCTGCGGCCCGCGCCGTGCCCTCAGCTGTCCGGGGCCCAGAGGCGCTGTCCCTGCGCCGGCCCGTGGTGCTAGGGCGCGCACGGCTCGGCTGCGGTTGCCGCATTGCCCCTGCCAAGCTGCTCCTGCGAGCGGCTGCTCTGGATTTGAACAGCAAAATTCCTCCGGGTGCTGCCAAGCCCCGTGTCAGTGCAGTGGCGGAACAACTGCAAAGCTGCCTTTTAAGTCAGCCATAGGCAAGTGGCTTAGAGTCTGCTGAAACTTACAGGGTTCGTCCCTCTTCAAGAGCCTCGCTAGCAGCATGTCTCTAAAAGCAGAAAAGCCAACTTCTCCAGAACCCCAAATAACCAGGAGAAATTAATCTTAAGGAATGACTTAAGTCACAGTCCTTCTTGTAGAAACAATGGGAGGAGGCTGGCAGCGATCTTAGGAGGGTTTGTATGTTACTGTAGTGTGTCAGAATACCACTAAATAAAGGGCAGTGAACAAGTTTTGCCCCAAAAATCCTACAATTAAAGAACTAAGCAAACATAATCCAACCAAGTCCTAAAGCAACTTAAAGGCTCTGTGCCAACACTGACTTGGTAGGTATAATTGCATGATTTGCTAAGGGTATTGCTTAGCAGTTCATTCAAGAGCCACAGCAAATACCCCTGAGAACATGGCGAGCTAAGTGGTTTTGCTTGAGCCTTAAGTGGAATAGCCAGAACACCCAGCAGTTCCCACCTCCAGAGCCAGCTGCACGCAAAGTATGGTTCACCTTCCCCCAGCTACGGGTGACAGTGCTAGTACATGCTGTAGTTTGCCCTCGAGCCACACTGCCTCTGCTGCTGGACACAAGTCCTGTTTAAAAGATTTGACAAGGATTGCTTTCCCAAAGGTGCTACAGTGTCACTAAGCCATCAACGAATGCAATCCTAGAAAAAGACCATGGATATACAGAATCATAGAATATACTGTGCTATTCCAAATGGATTCAGAGGGAAGTTATCTTAAATTAAAACTGTGTTCAGTGATAATAAACAACTGTTTATTAAAAAATAAAACATCTTCAAAATACTTTCACACATATATATACATAGAGACACTATTGCTTTAGTGTTTTTGACTTACAATTTTAGAAATCAGCTGGTTTAAATTACAGAAATCACATATCAGCAAAGTTCCACTTCAGCAGTAACATTTACATTTGATGTAAATTTGAAGACAATTGAAATAGTAAACAAGGTTTCAAGAGAAACTAAATTACTTTTAAAATATATGTTCTAATTGGAGGAAATAAAAATGATCTTAGAAGATTAAAACTGAATGTGTTATAGACTGAACAATATTGGAGAAAAAAATTGACAAAGGAAACAGTCATATGTTATTTGGGTTACCTCAAGTAATTATTAGTCACTGCTCTGACTCCAGACATAATCCAAACTAGTACCTTGATTACTTGAAACAATTTAATGTTGCAGAAACGCCAGTTGCTCATTTATTTTGTTGTTCTTGATTTCAATGGGATTCTTAAGAGAAAGGAATGTGGGGTTGAATCACTCACTAAATGCTGATAAAAATGTAACATTTAGACTACTTTAAGAAAAAGAAAGATCTCTATCACGTGCTTCTATTGGAAGGTCTCCTTTTGCCTGTGCATTAGGTACTAGAAGTACTCAGGAACTCTGTTCTGAAGCCGATGGCAAGAGCCCAAGCCAGCCTGCAAGTACAGCCAGTGACAAGTGTTTGCGTATTTGTGCTCTGCCATGAGAATCCTTCACTGGATTGCTACATCTCCAAAAGAACTCACTCCAGTGTAGCATGTGCTAAGGTGATTAGCCAATAAAAGGAAAAGTAAGGAAGTCCTTTCTGAAAAGGAAAACATTATTATAATGGCTTTATAAAAAAACTAAGATTAATCTTTGATGGAGATCCAGTGCAGAAAATCTCACAGGCTGAGGCTGATGTTGATGGGACAGGTGGGAAAGAATTCACTGCACCGGCTGCAAAAACTCTGATGTGAATACAGCTTCTGCATAGTCCTCACAAACATCCTGCAGCTCTGCTGCCACGTCACACAGGGCTTCTTCTGTCAGTTGCTCTGCAAGACTGACGGAGAGAGAGGGCAAAAAAAAAGAGAAGGTTCAGAAAGTCAGCTTTCAAATTCCAGTCTTTCACTTCCAAACCACAAAGACAATTCATATACCTCTCAGCAATCTGCCATGGATCGAAACTGCCCACAGCCTCATGAGAAATAAGCTTTAAATGATGCTTGTATCTGCTGTTATAATCCAAGATGCTCTGGAGCACATTGCTTGGCACAGACAGAGACACAGAATATGCGTTCTGTGGAGAATTCAGAAGCAAGGGCTGTAGAATATCATTTCCAGTCTGCAATTTCTCCTCTGCTTCTTTATTTTCATCAATATCACTGAAAAGATAAAATAATCATCAAGACAGAGCTAAATTTTTAAGTCTCTTTTTGAAGAGTTAGTGTAATGAAAATACTATAATGAAGTCACATAGATCCTATGCACCACAGTTTAGTGTAGGGCCAAGTATTCCACTTACGTGCTGTCAAAAGGTTTCTCAAATAAAATGTCTGTTTCCAGCTCTCCGTGGCTGATTAATTTGGTCATCTGAACTGGATGAGGAGGTGTAAGTTTTTTAGCTGTTGACGCCATTTGTAGTTCTTCTAGAAGGAAGATAATACTATTTTTAACTGGTTTTTTGAAAGAGAAAAACTACATCTACTGCAGGTTAAGTCCTCACAAAGACTTTTGTTTCTTTTAAGGGGAAGTCCTCCAGGTAAGTAGTTTCTTTTAAGGGGAAGTCCTCCAGGTAAGTAAAGTATTCAAAATTAGAAAAAAACATAAATACAGCTCAGTGTATTAATGCTCAGCTGAGCATTTTAGAAATACTACCTTTAGTATAAATAATTATACTAAAATAGAGACAGAAAATACCACTGTAAAAATAGCACAGTCTCTCAAATTCAGTGGTAAATCCAAGACATGGAAAAAGAATCTATAAAGATTTGGGGTAAATCTTCACCAGTCTTAGTGGGAGATTTTCCAACTTGTATTTAACAATACAGTTTCAGTAAAGGTGTATGTGATCCAATGGAAAATCAATGTAGCTTCACTGTGCTACTCAATCAAACCACAAGATAAAGAAAAGGAGTGCTGATAAAGTACTGATTTTAGAACTACATCTTAGAAACTGTCCTCTGAAAGGTACCATAGGTTTTTACCTATGGTAAAAAATGTGTCCAAGTGGTGCTATTTGATCATACATAATCCAATTACCTTGATTTCAAAACACCTGAATTTAAACCTACAGATTACAGGGAAACCAAGTTGTATTAAAAAAGACAATTACCCATGTTGTCTTGCTGGGCCCACAGGTGGGAGTCACTGTAGACAATCTGGGTGACTCTCCTGCGGACAGCCTCCTGGTACATCTGTGGTGAACACACATAGCAGTCAGTCAGTCAGTCAGTCAGTCAGCCAGCCAGTCATGGACCTGGCAGCTCATTATCACTGACAGCAAAGCAAGCCAGGATCCTCCTTGGGTTAAGCAGCCTTACTTTGGCCGGCAACACAACATAGAAGAGAGGTGGGGGATTGAAAACACAGACTTTTCTCTTGTTCAAAATGTCATTCTCAAATACAAAACTAATTGACAGTCCCAAGGGAACTCCTCCTATTTCAGACCAACGGCCCTTAGCCAAACAACTGAAGGGCCCTCAAGCTGCTCCTGCCTCACCAACAGTGAATCTAAATGTGTGCTCCAGTGCCTCAGGGACAAGGACACTGCAACTTCACACTTCCAACTGATGAACAGATCTCCAGGAGTAAATGGCACTAAACCGTGTAGTTCTAAGTCATAATAAATTTCAGAGGATAGCAAGGTCAAACTGGAACTCAAACCAGACACTATGAAAAAATAGACAGAAGAACACTTTTCAAGAAAGCAATATACGAGAAAACTCAAGTCAAGTAAATGATAACCTTAAGAATATTTATATGGAAAGATGAATAAAGACAAAGATAACCATGTATTTGTCTGACTTCTCCATGTTGCCCTGTGAAATATTTTGGATTGCCAGAGCATATTTCCTCAAGATGGTCATGCTGCTAGAATACTGAGATTCTATAGCACACAAAAGGGAAAAATTCAAATTAATGTTAATATTAACTTTCCATTCTGCTAGACAATCAACATAATCACCATGCTGATTCTCCTATTCACACACAAAGATTTAAGCCACAAAGTATTGAGATGGGATGCAAACTCAGGTCTGTCAACTTTACAGCAACACATTAATCAAACACTCTGCTTCTGTCCTTACACTGTCTCTTCTGGAAGCACAAACTCCATCCGGGTCTTTGATTTCAGACACTGATCTAGTCAGACCTTGCTTCATTTAAGAATGTAGATACTTACAGCTATTATAATTTATGGATAGTAAATAAGAAATTGACACTAAGGAGACTAAGCAAGACAGAAAATCTTACTTCAATTTCTTCCATTCTTTGCAACATTGACTCCAAGCTATAAGTGTCAGCCAGAAGTAGGGCCTCAGCCTGCAGTCTCTCATGCTGATCCATGCCCTGCAGTTCCTGAGCAGTATCTTCCAACAGATCATCCAATAGCTTTTCACTCAGAATATCTGCATTTGTTGCAACCTGCTACTTAAAAAAACAAATCCCAAAAACAACTGTTACAGAAAACAAAAAGACATAAATCCAATATAAGAAAGAAAGAAAAAAAACCCAAACCAAAACAAAAGTGACTTGCATTAAGTTGAAAATGAACTGTTTGCTTCCCCTTTACAAATGTTTGACAACTCTCAAGGCATCATTCACCCAGTCGTATGAGCTTGCCTGTACCACCTGTGTCCTGTCAAATGGAGGCTCTGACCACTCCTGTCTCTCCTTCTCAGCTTTGTCTGCACACCGGTCTGGAGAAACACTTTGTGACCTGCACAAAGAAGAGTACAAGACAGTGCCATTCTGAAACCTGGTATGCCAACAATAATTTAAAACACCAAACTACATAAATGTATTTTTACATTTACTCCCACTGTTGAGAGTGGGGAGAAGTTCATATCAGATCTGACATGTCTTATGAGATTTTTCAAAGAAAATCATTACCTTAACTTCTGTATTTTTTCCATTTCTCCTCTGCAAAGGTCAGTTAGAACCTTCACTCCTCTTGAATTTTTTGCTTCAAGCCTTGCTAGTCTTTAAAAATAGCACAGTAGCATAGAGTTACAAAATGTACATTCTAACAACTGAAGAACGAAATAGTGTAATTTCCAGCATTAGTTTGGAAGAGTTACAAGAAACTTCGGAGAGAGAATTAATAGACTTTAAAACCATAAAATACAGAAAATTCTGTTGAGAATGAGAGATCTTGAATCACATTTCTGCTGTAACAGGAACTACATGCTTATCCACAAATACTGTCCAGAGAAATGAGCTCCTCATCTTACCATGGACACTGCCTAGGAGATCCAGCACCTGTATCTTCTGGCTTCAAATGCCACAAACACCAGTCCCAAACCAACCTAAATGTGGAGACCCCCTGTCTAACAGTATGTTGAACAGAGTTTAGAGTAAACAAATCTACACTTTATTATTGTCTGGGACAAATATAGGTATCTTGTCCTTCTGAAACAGGGAGATAATATTTACCTTCTTAATGCAGTGCTGGGAATACCCACTCCTCCCCCTGTGTTTTGTCACTGCCCCACCTTACACAGTTTGCTCTTGACTCCCAGGCAGCAACTCAGACAAAAACTCAGACAAAAGACTGAAGTCCTGGCTCTTCCCAGGCTTTAGGGAATAGGGCTGCTCTGGGCCAAGTGGGAAAGGAGAGGAGCTATGTGACAGCAAGCTGTGCTGGGCCAACTCTATCCTAGTCACTAGCACAGATCCAGAAGCCTTTCCACTGGGAAGCAGGGCAGAGGTGGGTGCCAAGGGACTGCAAACATACCGCTCCGGTGAAACAGACCGAGGTGCAGGCTTTGAAGGCACGCGAGGCATTCTGCTCTCCTTAACAGGTCGTTTGTTCTCTTTTAGCTGGAAAGCTATAGTTGGCTCTTGAAATCGGGCAGGCTTTCCTGGAGGGTGTGCCCGTCTTGATTTTAAAGATTTCAGTATTCCCTTAAAATTAACACAATCACATTAAAAACACCTATTCCAGTTGTTGAATTTTCAAAGTATTTGGCATTCCGCTTCAGACTTTATCTTGAAATCAGGCCTGCTGGCTTTGCTGCAGTTGATGTATGTGAAGGATTTACAAACGCTTTAAAGGGAAGCAAAGCTGTGCCTGAACAGAACACATGCTTAATCCAGCAACTATTATTTTTGCAAACAGTTCCAGCTTTTCCAGTGTTTCTCTTCATGGGGAAAAAGCTTACTTTTGGTTTTTCAGAATTGAACTCTATGTTAACTATTATAAATAGTTATCTATTATAAATAGGTAACTATTTATGAATCCAAATAGAACATTTCCAAGGTAACATTGTATTCAGCCACAAAACTATAATATTCCCACATCTGTTACAAGATCATTTAGGCTCGTCCCCTCTATATCAATTATTAAAATGCTTAACTTTCCTGCCCATGATCCTCACGGATCCACAGGGATAGGAAGCAGTAAAAGTTACATAAGCATATACCTATGTTACTGTGTCAGATTTGATTTTCCTAGTTAAAAGTGATACTGAGGAATGGATAAAAGAAAAATACACTTCTTAGCAAAATATAGCCCTAGTCTTTTAAGAATTGTTTTCTTTCCACTATGGAGCTTCTTTCTGGTTGCAAGGACTTAGCGGAAACCAGAACTTGTATAGTGAAGTTTTATCATTCCTGTTATCAATTAAGTAAGCCTGAGTAACTTATATTCTCCTACTAACATTAGCACAACATTACTGCTGAGTGCATTTTTTGTGATAGAGAATGACCATAGGAGGAAGATACTTCAGCTTTAATTTCAAATTGAAAAACACACCTTAATTTCAAACATTAAACTAGTTTCAGTGAGCATTTTTCTTACCAATTCTGTTGTTGCTTCTAGTTGTAGAGTGCACTTCCAAGGAACTGTTTTAGAAAAACATTTTCTAAAATAGTCATAACCACTAGCAATAACAGGCAGATGACATAGTTTATCCCCCTATGTCTCCTAGCTCAGAATAATAATATTGTGAGGAGGTGAAAAGCTTAGACAGTGTCATATATTATACTACAAATCCCAGAAAACAAGTAGAAGACAGCATGAATGATTTATCACTTCCATACCTGAGGTTTTGCAGGCATTAACACACCTTTCTTCTTCAAAGCAGCACTTTCAAGGACAGACTCTTTTTTTACAGCTCTAGCTCTCACCAGTACATCTGTGCTTCCTTGCAAAGTGGCACTTCTCTCTGAAGTAGGTCGGCCACTTTCTTCTTGGTATTTATTGTGTAATATACGAGCACAACTGTTTGCCTGTTGAACTGCTGAAATATTTGCAACATGTCAGTGTTTATCTATACTAAACATATGAACTGTTAACTGTAAGTTGAAAGGGGCAAAAATTGTCTTTTTTTCTACATTTGACACCTCTGTTATGCTAGGTATACCTTACCATGAATTTTTAAGCTCTACTATAATAAAAAAAAAAATCAAAGACAAAATGAAAAATTCTAGCCTTGTATTTCCTGACAAGTATTAAAGAAATTGTCTTTCTTACATTGTTTTGATGAACAGGAAGGTTTGGGGGTTGTGTGCATATACATATTTACACATACAGAGATATTTGAAAATACACATATATATGCAAGTCATGGGAAAGTCTTTTGGGAGCAATTGCTATATGAGGTCTAGATGGTGGTAACAAAGCATCCTCTTTTAGACACATGGAAACCATTACATGTTTACATACTGTCTGTCTGGACTGCCAGAATTTGGCATATGGAATTCCTGCTACCTGGGGTAGTGGGGAATACTCAGGTGTGAGAAAGTCACCACAAAGAAGAAAACCAGTTAATATAGTTTATATAATAATGTAAGAACTTACAGTGGCTTTCATGAGGTGCCAAAACACTTCAGGTACATTTATCTCACAACACCTTGAGAAAGAATAAAGCTCCTTTCCTTTCATATCCAAAGCAAAAGAATGATATAGAAAGCCAATTCCAAACAGTTGCACTGCAAGATAGTGGTTAAAACCCCCAAGTCTTCAGCTTAAGTATCAGTTCATGTGTCTCTAGGTACAAAAGTGTGACTGTTGTGCAAAAGATATTAACAGTCATGAAGTGGCCAGGATAAAACAGCCACTGCTCCCAGAAGCAGAGAAATTGTACCAACCAAGGGAATTCTGAGCCAAAGACACAATAACTTTTCACTATGAACAGTTAAACAACTACAGCCTGGTTTTTGTTAGACTGATTTGCTAACATTTAACCAACTTCTGACCAACAATACCATACTAAAAAATTGCACTGCAGATGGCAAGGTGAGTGATAAAAATGTATTTAGTTCAAAATACAAACCAGTCAAAAGACTCATGGCACATGGAGGTTTTTTAGACTCTTGTTCATGCTGTCTCTTTAAGGTGAGAGGTTTGTTTTCTCCTTTTGGAGACAGAAAGTGCTTTCTGTCTGGATATGTCTCAGTGTTCCTTGGAGATTTGGCCTGAGAAGCTGAAATGCATTTCTTCACTGTTTTTGGTGTTTTCTTGCTTTCTAGCAGTGAATTCAGATCCTGCACCAAATATTTAGAGTTTTAATTACTCTCTCAGTAAATCTGATGTAATGAAAAGCAAATTAATTCTAAGCAGTTGGAGCTTTTTTGGTCTGGTTTTGTTTTGTTGGTGTTTTTTCAGACGATAACTTTCAGGTTTTTTCAGACTGATAGCTTGTTCACATTATTTATTGCTTTTTCACATTATTTATTTCAATCTTCCTGAAAAGGCATACATTTTTGTATTTACAACTGACTCCAGCAAACCATTTGCTTACAGAATGCTCAAAAAGAATTGAACTCAAGGGCTACAGACCAACAAAAACTTCATGGTCACATGACTATTGTAACACAGACACTTCTTCCAATGCTATGTCCAAACCTAAACCATTAACTTCTTTTCTGTTCCCAGACAGTTAGCACTCTTACTGTTCTCATAAGCAGGTCATAACACTAAAATTAAAAACATAGCTCTTACAGTTTTAACAGTATTTTAAGGAAAGTATCTTACGGCACCCGTATTGCTTTTTTAAATTTATGCAGCAGACAACATGAATCAGACTTTTCTGTGATACCAGTGACATGTATAAGTCATCAGATATCAATAAAAAAGATATTTGAAGGGCACAGAGCCAAGTTACTCTTGCAGCCACAACTTTATCTTCTGCCTGGACAACTCTGCATGCAACACCGTATGAGATGCTCAGGTGCTCACCACTGATGCTGATGACTAAAGCATGCATCCCGAGTAATAAAACACTTAATGCACACCTATGTATAAAATGAATTCTCTCTGTCCTGAAAATGACTAATGAATTAGAAACTGATGCTTTGTTACAACTACCACTACCAGTCCTCATTCTACCAGGACAGCCAAGAAAGCTAGGAACAGCATCAACAAGACCAGCAGTAGGTAGCTTCTGTGTTTAGTATGCATGTCTCTTTTACACCACCATTACTTAGGAACATTAGAAGTACATTTTTACATTAGAAAATATGGCCTTTAAAAAATAAAAACAAACCCAGTAATATATTCTGCCATTTCATTAACACAATCTCATATTTCATTACCTCTTTCCTGCCTTAGCAAAAACAAATGTTTTTTTCCTACCTCAACTTGCAGCAAAATGTCTATGATAGCTTCAGAAATGGAAGAATCCCCTTCTAGTTTGGCGGAGCAGAGAGACAGTTGACGAATTAGACTGCCCAGTTCCTTGTAATGGGCAGGAATCTGCTCATCTGTTTGATCTGTAAACTGATTGGCAAATGCCTGCAAGGTTCGTACAGCTCCTCTATGTGCTGCTGCCAACCTGGATACTGCTCGAGACTGGAAAAATGAAAAATAAATAAATGCTTTAATATCTATAGTTTCTACGGATACTTATACTGCTGGAAGAATTGTTGCCGAAATGTCATGCAGAAACTCAGGCTTGGAATAATTTTAATTGATATTAATCCATTTGTGAGACAAACAAAACAGGCATTGAAGTAATTTACTCAAGATTCCTCAAAAGAATACTCCTATTAATGTCATGCCGGCCTCAGGTAAAACAGCCTGGGTGTATCAGGTCATGATGTTTCTACTACCTGTGCCAACACAGAACTATAGCCATTTACAGTTGGCTGGAGTCTAATGCGCAACAATTGCACAAACAAAAATATTCTCAATCTTCCTTGTTTTGTTACAGAAGAAAATGCAAGTGATTGAAAAAGCAGAAGAGAACAACAGGGCAACATTGACTAGACTGTGGGCATGATCTCAGCCATCCCCCTGGAGGCTGCTGGGCAGAGAAGAAAATCAGAAAGAAGGCTGGTAAGACTGAGTGTCATCAACCAGAAGTCTAAAAAAAGCATCAAGAGTAGAACACATTGTTAATTCCTTGCAAAAAGAAACTGGAATGAAGAAGGAATTAGAAGGCACATAAACGCAGAAGACCAACCACCTTCCTCTCATTTACTGCAGACAAGACCTGAGGAGAAGCAGCAAAGGCAGTATCAGGCCAAGTGAGCCATACTTCTCAGAGAATGAGACGAAATATGTAAGATACAAAGGAAATCTCCTTTCTGGAGAAGGCTTAGCTGCACCCTAGACAATCAAACTCAATTATCCAGAAAACTCTGTTGATAAGTCACTTACAGCCTGAAGGATAACTACATCTTACCTTTTTAGTATGTTTGATTGTATGAGGACTCAGTTTCTCTAAATCGTCCTGAATTTCTTTTACCTGTTTATCAAGAAAGGAGACAGAGAGGAGCAAGTCAGTCAGAATTAGTTCCATGTCTATAAACGAACAATAGATCTTCACTGTAGCATCTGAGATTTTTCAACAGTGATGCTCACCTCTCTGTCCAGCCATGAGGGAAATCAGTCACACCATTCAGATCTAAACTAGAATGCCATGGAAGTTCAGAGATAACCCAACTGACTTCCGCTTGTTTCAGTTAGTTTCTGACAAATTCATCACAACAAACTAAGCTCCTATGCATCCCAGTTTAAAGTCATGGCTCCTACCTGCTGCTGGAGCACATACAGCATCCGAGCTGACCGTGCAGCTTGTTGCTGTCTCCGAGTGCAAAGCTGCTGCTCGTTTTCAGGATCTAGAAGTTCTCTATCTCTCCCTAAAAAGCATAGCATATAAAGTTTTATATCTTAATTTAACCTGTGAAAATGCCAATTAAGTCATGACAACAGACATAATTTAGTAATAAGCCTTTTCCATGCAGAACCAAACCACATATTTGTGGGGGTTTCTTTAACAGTAATGCAAGTTAGTTATCGTAAACTCTACATCCTGTTTCTATTTAATAGTCTAATACAATATAGCTCATTATTTATTTAAAAAATCGTGTCTATGATTAGTTTTATGACAAAGCTGCAGATAAAGCACTCAAAATTAGGAAGGGTTAAACCTCCTGCTAGTTATTACAAAACAACAAACTGCTTAAGCTGGCTAGCTATTCTTTTATTTAGTTTTCAAAAAAATAGATGGTTCTCAAAAGTCCAGCCATAAATACAAATTCTAATCCAACCCAAAAAATGAGGGGAAAAATATCAACAAACTAGTGTACATTTCTGTCATTTATATAATATAATTACTGTTCATTCTTACACCTTTTTTAATAAAATCTTCAATTTTCTGGACATAGTTCCTCAATTCTTTTTGCAGACGTTGAACTTCTTGCATATTTTGATGTTCTTTTTTATTTAAATTTGGCTTGTGGTCCGGTCCTGTGTGCCGGGTGGGAGGAGAGTCCAAAACAGCAGCTACTGGCTTTCCTTCCTTAACTAGGCAGAGATGAACGTTGCTGTCAGAGCTGGCAGACTCTCCTTGGGAAGGATGGGCAAGCCTCTGCTGACACGTCAACTGAGCCTGAGACTTCGGGGTATTTTCATTTTCTCGACTTGCAAATACTTCAGTCTTCTGTGGTTGTGATTTCTGTGTCCACAACGGTGTGCTGATGACATCTCCAAATACCTGTTGTTTTACTTGTTCTTCGAGACGTCTTTGTTTGATGTCCCTTTTTGCCAGCTGAACAGCCAATTTAAGTCTCTCTTCAGACACCACTGAGAACATCCCAGAGCTTCTCAGGCTGAGGTCCTCACTTCCAACGAGATTTCTCTTATCACTGGATGCCTTCAGTTTTTCTATTATAATTGGACGGGGGTGAGAGAATCTGAGAGCCAAGTTCTCTGGAACTGCAGGAACATTTCTATTAAACTGGAGCTGTTCAAAGTGTAAAAAAAAAACCTGATGTTATGCAGAATGCTATACACAGGCGATGCAACTCTGTCATGATGGCACTGTTTTGGATTTATGATGAACACAGTGTTAACAGCACATCAATGTTTTCATTCTTGCTAGGCAGTGCTCACAGAGGTCAAGGCCTTTTCTGCTTCTCACCTGCTCACCACTGAGTAGCCTGGGGGTGGGCAACAAGCCAGAGAGGAAACAACTGGATGGTTGATCCCAACTGACAAAAGGGATATTCCACACCCTGTAGCATCATGCTCAGCAGTAAAAGCTGCAGGGAAGAAGGAGAAAGGGGAGACTAGTGACAGCATTTGTCTTCCTAAGTCACTGTTATATGTGCTGAAATGGCTGAATTCCTGCCTGCTGATAGGATGTAGAGAATGAATTCCTTATTTTGCCTTGTTTGCGCACAAAAAGAGGAAAGCATTTGCTTTCCCTGTTAACCTGCCTTTATCACAACCCATAACTTTTCGTACTTTTTGCCTTCCAGTTCTCTTCCCCATCCCAACTGAGAGAGGGTGAGCAAGTGCTCAGCTGCCTACTGGGATTGAACCACAACAGATAATTAAGAATAATTATACATCCAGTTTGTGATCTCTAGCCTTACTAAAGGACAGTGTCAAGATAATGTGCGACAGCACGAGGAAAGCTAGTATGACACTCCCTGCTGGGCTGTCTCATGAAGTGGGTCAGAATCACGTTTTTGTTACAATCACAAAGAAAACCAATTCAGCATCGCTACAGACGGCAAATACTACCTGTGTTTGTAAAGCTTTAGCTTCATTCCTGTATCGCTGGCTGGTGAATGCAAACGCATCATCAGACACCACTGTCTTGCTTGGTACCATCTCATCGGCTCGAGAGCAAATCTCGCTATTATCGCTTGCTTGTGATCACAGCTGTGGATGCGAGAACAATAAACCGTTATTTCAGACTGGCAAAAGCCATCCCGGGTCTGATGTGAGTAACAAAGGGAGAACCAGCCCGAGCAGCCGCGGACAGAATGGGGCGGCCTCTCCGCAACCGCCCAGGGCTCGTGGCTGCTCCCGGCCCTGGCCCTCAGGGCGTCCCGGGCGGCACCGGCACGGCGGGCCCCGGGCGCTGCCGCAAGGGACGGACGGACGGACGGACGGACGGACGGACGGATGGACGGATGGACGGAGGTCGGTCAGTCAGTCGGTCGGTCGGTCGGTCGGGCGGCCCGGGCCGCGGCGGACGCGCCAGGCGCCGTTCGAACCCGGTCCCGCCGCCGCACGGGCCGCCGGGAGCGCGCCGAGCTACGGCGGCCGCGCGGGCCGGGCCGGGCGGAGCCTCCGCCGCTGCCGCCATGGGCTGGGAGGAGAGGCAGATCCGCGGGTACCCCGAGTTCGTGCGGACGGCGCAGAGCTACCACGGCCGGCCCATCTTCGCGCTCTTCTGCGGCGATAAGGACGCCGAGGGCAGGAGCTGGTGTCCCGACTGCGTGACGGGTGAGGCGCGTGGGGGAAGCGCCCTGCCTGGGGCATGGGCTGTGTCGGTCGTGAGGAAGCCGGAGAGGCCTCGGGCGCCTTTCCGGGAAATGCCGGGCGGGCACAGCAGCCCCAGAGCCGGTGCCAGGCTCCAGGCGCAGTTTCCCCGGTGAGCTGAGCGGGCTGTGAGCCGCAGCTGCCACGCTGCCCCTTTGGCTGCGCACATGGAACGGCGCGGGCTGCTGGCGAAGGCTGCTAACACGGCCCAGCAGACAGACAGACAGACCTGAGCCCTGCCGTCATCTTCACCTATGCTGCACGTGTCGAGGCGCAGCGATGCCTTCCCCGACCGTGTCCAGCGGCAGTATTTCCTTCTGAGAAATCACCGCACTGAACCGCAGGGCTTTACGTGTCTGAGCAGGTCTGAAGGTGCCTTAGGGACCCGTCACCCTGCAGAAGGGCGCTGTGCTGGGCTGCCACACCCAGGACAGGACAGAACAAGAGAAACAAGAGTGTTTCTCTTCGTGTTAGAGAAGAAATTGGCCTTTGCTCCAACACAAGTCCAGTCAGCGTTCAAGCATGTAATAAACTCTGAAAAACTTGTGGATGGCCCGGTGCAACGAAATATCGATCTGTAACTAAAGCAGACAAAACATTAATAAGTAGCCTTGCCGGTCCAAGTTAATCCATGTGACTCTGTAGCACGAGTATTTAGTACTAACACATTTTAAAAATTATTTTCTAGCTGAGCCAATTGTGAGGAAGGAACTTCATAACCTGCCTGATGAGTCAGTTTTCATCTACTGTCTAGTTGGAGATAGAGCCTAGTAAGTACCTTTGAATGCTGACAAATTTGTTCTGTTGGTGGACTGGTGGTGAACCTGTTGAAAAAACTGACAGAGCTGTCCTTTTCTGTAAAGAGTCAATCTTTACAGAAAAGATTGTAAAAGATTGAGGTCCTCACGATCTCTGACATAATCTATCTGCATGCTTGTTTTGAGAAGGGCATTGGGAAGGTGTGAGGCAAAGGCCTTTGAATAATTTTGAAGCTATTTTAACTTCAAAATGCCTCTCTACAAGCTGTGCTTAACACCTTCTTTCTGAACAGCTGGAAGGATCCCAACAATGAATTCAGGAGGAATCTGAAACTAACAGGAGTGCCTACACTACTTAAATATGGCACAGTAAGTGATTAATGTTCTGAATCTACAGGCATTGAGATGGGGGCCTGTCAGGAATTTAGGGCTGAATGAATTAGTCGCTTGTATTCTCTGAGAACCCTCTCTTGTTCAAGCAGACCAGAGCATTCTAAACATCTCTTCTGCTCCCAGTTCCTCAAGAGAGAACCATTTTGCTTATTGTGTAATGTCTATAATAAACATGCAGTAAAGGGAATATGTGCACTTGCCTCATGGTGCTTGAGGGGTTGAGAAACTTCTTAGCTACATATTGTTACTGTTCCTGATTTGCAGCTCCTCAACTTTTGAAAATTCCAAACACTGAGGCTACAGGAGTGAAACAAGTTCCAAGCACTCTGGTCAGACTGCAGCTCAAGTTGTAACTTGTACATGTTAGTTAAATTAGCAGTTACTTTCTTAGAAATGCCTCTTCCAAGGCCAGAGAACCCTCAAGAATGTTTTAGTTGTAGTTACCATTCTTGTTCCAGCCCCACTACACCTCCCTCCCCAGGCCAAAGTTGCTGGATGTGGCTACTGTTAGTGTGTACAAATGGCTCTCAGCCAGAACAGGTTTTTTAATTAGGAACGTTTTTCTTTCAGCCTCAGAAGCTGGTTGAAGAAGAATGTTTTAAATCGGAGCTTGTGCGTATGTTGTTTACTGAAGACTAAAGGCCTCACTAGTCAATTACTGATGAAGATGGTAGTCTCAACTACTGCACTGTCCTTTCAAGGAATCACTGACCTTTGTTAAAGCTTTAATGATTAATTACTTTGGACTACTTGAGATAAATGCCCTGAAATTCTGGGTCCAAACCTTACACTAAAATCTTACAAGAAAAACTGTATCTTTCCTTTCATGTCCAAATAAAATTGAGTTTGTGAACAACCTCTTTTCAAAGGACCTGAGCTCGTGTTAGAAACTCAGATTACCTTGCATTTACTGAAGTGTAACTACAAGTTGCACTTTCAGCGAGTAAGGAGGAAGGGGAGAAACAGAAAGCCCTCCTTCCTAAGCCTGACCACATAATTACTGAAACTGTTAAGACAAATTTTCAATGCCAAAGATGTTTAATGACTTATCTGTTCAGTCTGAGTGTGATAATGTGATGGCTGGCAGCTGTAGTGTCACTGATCCCATCTTAATGGTTAATATTTGGGAGTACCTGTTCCTACAAGGACAGGAAATACAACATGAATGCACCAGAAATACAGTCTAAAAATATGAAAATTAAAAACCCTGGCAGCTGCCAAGAGCTATGTTGTTAGAATAAAAAGCTATACAGGAATAAATGGCAAGCGCTTCTCCAATACTCCAAGCAAGGGCATGTTTCCCTGCACACCCTGTTCTTGTTACATGGAGTGTAAAGAGACTCCAGAGCAGCCACTGTGGCACGGGCAGAGGCCAAGACTCAAGGAAGCTGAGTTGAACGGAACAGAGGCAGCTACACCTTGTTTCCTTCTCTATCCTGCAGAGTTTATCAGCACCTATCTCTGCTCTGCTCCCCAGACCTCACCCTGTACACTCTGATTTCTATCTGTACCACATGCTGTAAGGAAAAATAACTTCCATCAACAATGACTGCCAGGGACACAGAAGTGATAAGTAATAGCTCAGCTGGTTTCAAGGAAAAACTGCACAGTTTTGACTTTATCATCACTTCACCTTTGCTTGTCCCAGAGCTATAAGTAGCGGGGAGTTCTCAGTACACTTTGAGACACCATTATTCTCCAGCGAGAAGGCTTCCTAGGAACAGCCTTTAGAGCTACATGAGCTACATTTCTTTGTAGATAGTAAGTAACAAATCTAGATTTTGTGTTAAAAATCAAGAGGAATCAATAACTATGGTAGTAAAGCTCTTACAAAATTGTCCACGCTATAAAATTAATTGCAGGTGTTTATTAGTCTTCAAAAGCGTTGATGAAACAAAAACCCCAGTCACCTGATAAATTCAAATAAAAGGGACACACACCCAGAGCCAAACTTGCAAAAGGGTTAATTCATCTCCTGTAAATACTTCACTAACACAAAGTACACCTCATCACCACTACTGCATGTGCTTTTCATTTTACAGAGGTGTTGTTTTGTTGCTGCTGCTCAGCCAGTGCCTGCTGGAGGCGCATCCTTTTCCGGGAATAGTGCTGCCAGTGGAGGATCTGTTGCTCATCAATAAATTTGGCACACTGAGCATTGACCAGTTCTTTGCGGAAATGTTCATACTGGAGCAGCTCTAGCATATGCAAACATTGAGGATACCTGGGTTAAAAATAAACACGCTTTAATACAGGTTTTTACAAGGGACACTAAATCTAAAGTTTCCAGTACTTCTGTGGGTCGTTAGTTTTGACTCGTGTGTCTTTACCCAAGTGTGAAACCACTTCAGCATGCACACTGTGAGTTGGTAACTGCAGCATCAGCCCAGGAAACAAGGAATCCAATCCCAGTAATAAATGCACATTCCTGCCTTCTTCCCCAATGGCTTGGTTTGATAGGCCAAATCCATCCATCCATCCGGCTTTACAAGGCCTGCTTCCAGAGCCGAATTAAAGAGGACCGAAACCATTTTCCAAAAACGGAAGGAATTTGCACACTTGCAAAAACACAAAATCACCCTTTGCCTCATGTAAGCATCAATAATGCAAAACTGATCTTAAAATTCACTTAACTGCTTTTTTACCCTAACGTTCAATAGTTTGATTTTAAACCCATTGAAAGTGCAGATTAAGGCTTTAAAGGAAGATTCTATGCAAAACTCATGAATTCTTCATAATTTTGCCTATTGCTGCTACATGTGGACTATTGGAAACAAGAAAATCTACACTGCATATAACCATGATCTTGCATAATCTATGCTGCGGGGAAGACAAAAGTAATGTTACAGGCAGAAATGAAATCCTAACGTGGTACTGTACAGTGTGTAAAATGAGGTCAATGGCAAACTATTAAAATGCAGAAACTTAAGGGAATTTAGCACTTACTTCAGGTATTTTGCATATTCAGGTTCTTTCCAATAAAGTAAATATTTCAGATAATTTACAAAAGCTTTATCTTTGAAGTAGCCTCTTTGTGCAAGAACTGAAATAAAATGACAAATCAGGAATTGACAGTTACAGATGGGTGTAAAATACCAGCACACTTGAAAAAAATCACACAGTCAAAACTTTCTCATTACAATCAAATTTTGATAATTTATATTTGGCAAATTAAAAACCACAGAGCAATATAAGATTTTTATGTCAACAAAATAATAGATTGGTCTCATCTCCCTTACAGTTTGCATCTTTCATTGAATGGAACAGCTTTTTGAAACAAGAAAATTTGACTGCAGCATCAAAATTAGCAATGAGTTATGTATAGTACCTAAAACTATTCACATTAGTAAAATTCTGTTTTCAGATAAAGGAATACTGTTAACTTGACATTACTTTTAAATAACAGACTGGAACTTGTTATTTTCTTCTTTACAGACTACTTTTATGCTGTGAGAA